TTTTGAACCCAGAGTTCCTTTGTATTTTCATAGATAATGTTCATAGCTTCTGCACAACAAAAATTAGAACAAAAACATTAGAACAAAAAAATTAGAACAGTTTCTCACCTCCGACACCAGAATCAAAATGGTTCTGAACACCGAGCTCCTGTATATTTTCATAGATAATGTCCACAGCTTCTGCAGAACCAAAATTAGAACAAAAACATGCCCAGCTGAATGGCATCAGCACATGATGACTTGCATCCTGTAAGCACCAAATCCCCAGCACATCATATTTATGACGTTTAAATTTTCACCTGTGCGCCTTAACACTCTGCAGTATCGGGAAACACCAGTGATGACCAGGACGGCAAATGCCAGGACAAAAACCGCAAGAATCAAAATCCAGCTTTTTCCTTGCAGAGAATCTAAGACATATAGATACCATAAATCCACAAGACACATCATCTTACAAAAAACTGACAGAAGTCCACATTCTCAGATAACCCCCAAACTTAGAACTGCAAATCATATCTGTTAAGACATACGCTCTTAAATAACCCAGCTACAAATGCTAGATTAAATTTCACAAAACAATTGCGACCAGCTCCAAAGAAATAGGGCCTTAGTTTACTCACTTTGGGGAAACAGGTCTTTCTCAGAGATAGACTCACTCGTTGCCTCATTCAAAGGATTACGCCATATGCAGGTGTAGGTTTTATTCAGGTGATCACTCTTCCAAACAGTCAGCACTCTTTCACCGCTGCTTTCCTTATCATTTTCCTTCCAGAGGAGCTTCCAGGAAGTGTGTTTGGCATCCTTGCCATCACAGGACAAGGTACAGGCTGTCTCGTTACACGTGTAAGTGATGCTGGGTTTGGGGACTGGTGCTACGAAGGAGGAGGACACAAATGAAGTACAGATCAGAAAGGTCACTAAAATGACTGCCTGTCCTCCATATTGTTTACACATTTAGTAGTAATTCCACAGTGACAAAAGGGAACTAAACAGAACTGGATCGGTCATCTTCTGTGTAGTAAATCAGGATTAAACAAAATCCAAATATTTCAGTAGCTGATTGATTTCACATTATATTAGCTTTCAGTCTTTAATTGGTGGAGACAGTCTGTAAAGGAAAGTCTGACATAAAAATAAAGACCAGCAATGGAATTACTAACTGGAATAACTCATTTAACCAGAACTAATATTTAGTCATGCAAAGTAAAAGTTAAAAAAGTACCTGGTATAAAAACAATGACATTTCATCAGGATTTATGGAGTGAGAAGAGTAATTTGTTACATTTCTTATGAACAAAGACTTAGGTTTGGCTTTGTCAGCCCCAAACCCCCTGCCCCCTAAACACACTCAGCACTCCCATAGTTGGGTAAGGTCATACCCCCACAGTCCATACCCAAATCTACACCCCTGCTCATGTAGTCCATCTCTTAACTGTGGGTTAACTGATTTCCTTGTCCAGTTCACTTTTCTCAGTTGTGGTATCAAAGTAGAAGGATTCTAGAAGGTTTCAACCACTGAGGAAACTCAGTGTATAATATATTGCTTTATATTACACACTATTTAAAAATTACTGGATATTATCAGATCTCCTACAAGTCATTGTTCCAAAATTGTACATTTATTTCAACAGTTTCCGATTTAACCCCAGGCATTTTTTGGAAACATCAGAGCACAGGGAAAGACATATTTCTTAAAAAAGAAAAATACAAAAACAAAAAGGTTTAAAACTACAGAGAAATAAAAACGAAAGAGGTGATCTTCAGTTTTATACAGCTAGTCTCATATGATTCGCTGCAATTTTATACAAGCAAGTTTTTTTTAAATAAAGAAGAATAAAATATTACTTACAGAGTACAGTTAGCTGAAAATGTATTGGAAGTCCTGTTTCATTTATTTCAACAGAATAATTCTTGTTATCATCCGCCATTAGTAATTTAATTGTTAGCACCCCAGTGATGTTATTCAGTTCACATTTGTGTTCACACATCTTATAATAATCCACCTGAGTATCAGGACCGTCCCATTCCGCTGCCTTGTGTGGACCAGACTTCCAAGTGATGCTCAAGATTTGTTTACGGCCCACTTTGGGATCTAGTTTAGCTTGCCCTCCTAGGGGCGCAAAGACCTCTTCACCTGGGAAGACCAAACCAACAACATCGTATAGTTTGATCAGCTGCTCTCACGCATCTCCTCAGTAAGCAATGCATAATGTCTTAGTCACATATAGTGTCAAATATTGTTTTTGTTAATGTTATTCAGATACATATACAGAGAGATGGGCAAAAATACATCAAAATGTACTTTGATACAAAATACCTTATTTGTAGGTGTATCAAAGTAAACTACAAAATACAGCCACCAAGCAAAGTATCAACATAAGCTACAGTATTTCGTATTTTTAAAAAAATACCTGTTCCTTCACAAGCACACTGACTCAATTGGCCAAGCATAACAGCGAGTTTTTCACTTCATAGTAAGACACAATACAATTGTGAAAATTGTGAAGCGCGAGTTACGCCAGACGCGTGAAAACCCTGATAACAAAGAAGTACATCAATCCATCTATACACAGTATGCAGTGACCCATCTGCATGTGTTTACCGAAGGAGAAAATCGATGTCGACGGAGGAAATCTGTTCTTACCTGCGCACTCATCTCTGAAAAGTCCAAACACTAAAATCAGTTTTGTCACATTTATTCTATATAGTATCATTAGCAATAGGAGAGCCGGTATTTTACCGCGGTCCCAAACCTTTGTTATTATGATCCTGAACCCCCAGCGACTCTTCTGAATTCTCTCGGCGTAAATTGAAAACTCCGGAGAGTTTTACGTTTACCGAGACCCTGTCGGTAATATCACGCCTTTACTGGCAAGATTTTCACAGTCGATTTACACATGACTAAAGAATCCGCATTCGTGGGTGGGGGTGAGCAACGATGTGTACAGCTGTTACAGGAACCGATAGTAAATGTCTCGCTAAAATTTTCTCACTTCGATTTCCTCTTGTTATACCTATATAAGCCTAAGTCTTACAAAAGTGTGAACTGCTATATGCTCTTTACTTTCTAGAGCTCATTGGAGAATGAATATAATTAGCGAGATCTATTTTAATTACTAGGCCTATGTAAATTTAAACATTTACAAAACCCTGACTACTTCCGTTTAAGATGCCAGTAATACCACGTCTTTCCTAAAATTGTCTAATGAGTTGATAAATGTTTACTTTTTGGGTGATTTCATTAAAGTCATGCTGTCAGCTCATTAAGTAAATCACCAAGGAGAGAACAGCATGTTCATCTAGAGGTAGCCTCACAATTAATAAAATGAACTTAATAGAACAGGTGTTCTACTCCTTCATCTGTAAACAGCCAGCTGTTCTCTGTCATTATGTGGTATTATTACTGCCAGGAACATTAAGATGAATAGTTGACAATGTACAGGCCATGCAAGGCGTCCCCAGCCTTATACACCGGGCTTCCTGGGTCCAGCCCCAGCCTGACTGTAAGTGACATGACCCTGTACCGGATGGGAGGAGTAACAGCATAGTAGGGTGCCTCATGGGGGGAACTCGCTGGGTGTGAATCATGCCCCAGTCTCTGTCTCAGTCTCTCAGTCTCTCTCTCTGTGTGGGGGGGGGGGGCTTATGTATATATTACACTGTGTGTGTAAATGTCCCCACAATGTGATAAAAAAAAACCTGTCATTTGGACATTTCTTTGGTCCCCACAGCAGGAAACTCAATTTTATATAAAAATAAATCCGTGTCCTCAATCAAAAAACTAAAAATGCCAAAAAGTCTCATATTTTGTTTGGTTACTTATGGTTAGGGTTGTCATGTTGGGATTAGAGTTTTCCCCATAGAAATCAAAGATATAATTACAAACCTGTGTGTGTGTGTGTGTGTATGTTCTTTGTTATGTGTAGATGTTTTCCCAGTTTTCTTTCAACACTTATGTGAATTGCTATCTGTAAACTGCCCATGTTGTGTTAATGTGTGTGCCCTGTGATGGACTGTCCTGTGTGGTCCAGGCTCATTGCAGAAGATGTATGGGATACATAGAAATGCGTCATAATATCAAACCTCCATCGACAGTCTAGAATGTAACAGATGAAGAGGAGCCTTTCTGTCAGTATCTGTTCCTAAAAAGCCAAGTCACAGGAACACCTAAACTTCACCTCACCCACGCATCGCGGTAAACTTCCCCATCCCGCTGTTTTTGCAGACTGTTCCATTGGAATAGCTTTCCTTGGTATTACTGCATGCACTGTGCTTTGCTTTTTCTGATGTTCTTTTTCCGCGCTATTTTTTTGTAGCTCTTTTTGCAACACTGTGCTATCGTGCAGTTGTTACTGGTCACTCACTGGAAGCTTAGCCCAGCATCAATTGTACGTAAGTTGACTCCTTAACAGCGGTATGTTTGCGATGTATTATGTGCCACTTCTTTTGTTACTTTGGACACTAGTGCCTGATGAATAAATAAATAAATAAATGTAAGTGGGAGGTGCACATAATGTTAGCAACATGCTTCACCAGAAGAGGGCGCTATAAATCGATAATTTTGACAGACATTTTCTCAAATATAGTATAGCTATTTCTGCAAATATTGTAAATTGTTGCCAAGGAGGAAATCAGTGGGTTCAGAATGAAATGGAGGGTTAAAGTGCATATTTATGTGGAGCTATAATGCTTACCACAGTGGTATAATGTTCCACTGAGAAGTGTCAGGCACCAAAAAAACTTAATTATTAATTAAGACGCCATTCTGCAAACATAGCTGATTCAGGCCCATGAAACCCTCTTTTCTGTTTCATTGTGTGATTACCCCTTTGTCGCTGTGTTTTTGTGCTTATTGACTTCGCTAAAAGTCTAACTCCTCGTCTCTCTCAGCTCTGCTCTCTTAATATTCATTGTGAAGGCTTCCCTGTAAATTGTACTAATCCCCCAGACCTTCATCATCAGACTTCCTCCACTGTCTTCCCTTGCTCTGCCTCTTCCTGTGACTGTGATGCTTTTTCCTCTTCACTTTGTGTCATGTCGTTCAGCCTGTGGAACTTTAAGCTAGTGTTTGTCATTAAACCTTTATAGAGAGCTAGTATGACAAGGCGGCTAAGCTGCCTGAGGTAACGTGTTGCTCAGGGCTTTTTGACGAGGGCAGTCTGGGCTTGAGAGGTGACGGCAGCAAAAGTGATGATCGGGAAAGTCCAAGGAGGGGGGTCTTTCTGACCCCAGGTATAATTTTATTAAACAATTTTCTAACAGGTTAATAAATGGTTTTAAAATAAAATGGAAAAAAATCACAATTAACCAATGCCAAAAAATGCCTTACTCTGTTCATTATACATATAGCATTTAAACAGATATTTGCGGTAATTCTACGAAAAGATTCATTCCATCCCATTCGCATGTCTCAGTGTCAGACAGGCGTGGACTGGCTACCATTTACGAACATCATGATTTATTTTCTATTTTATGGATAGATTGGATGTCGATACTGTAATCCCAGAAGCGGCATCACATGTAGTCATTGCAGACGACTGAAAATCCCTTTCACTGCTCCCTCTCATTCCAGTTAAAATGCTTCATGGCACGTGACTCATAACTCAAAACGATAGTTATGGCCAGTTAGTGATGCGAGAGGCAGATGCACTGTAAACAGGGTGCTTTGTCCATACAGCAGGAGTGTCATGGCTGAAAAACTCCAGAAAAGTCCACACCACTGCACTCTCCAGTTAGCACACCCCATTAAGCCAGATTAATGACTGGCTACTTGAATGCTTAAATGGATCTGCCTGTTATTCTACCCTAAGCTTATTTACTTTCCTTCCCACTAGTCTATCCAAACCATTTATATTTAATAGTTTCTAAGGCACAATCTGCAAAACATTAGTTCTAGTAAAGTTAACAGTTTAGAATCTAGATTTGCAACCTTTATGAACGATGGCTTAATAGCTTTCCTACTTTTTGAAATGTCACTTGATTAGTTTTATATCCACAACCACGTTTTGTGTGGTAAAATGAATGATGTAAATAATGAGTACATTTCTGTAAGTCTCAATGGCTTCTCAGATAACAAAAAGCAAAGTTGTAGAGATAGTATTCCACAACCTCATTAGTGGGATAACTTTCCTAAATATTCTGCCGGTCAGGTTTGTTTTAACGATTATTTTGCTCCTAAAGGATTTATTATTATTTTTTTCCATGTGTATAGGCTATTCAGTCAGTCAGTATGGTTACCTAGCTCTCCGACCATCTTCTACAGCGCTCATTCCTTACAGTGTGGGGGTGCAGGCCTGGATTCTGGGGCTGCATAATGCAGAGGGCAGGACGCACCCCCACTTGGGATGCAAGCCGACCACGAGGCAAACACACACTCAGTGACACACTGTGGGCAATTTAGCAATACAATCCAAATAGCTGCATGTTTTCGATGGCCAAAGGAAACCAGAGTATTACAGGTCATCCAGTTATGAAACACCCCCTATAACTGAAATAATTTGAGCCAAACTAGTTAAGATGATAGAGCATTATTTAATCGTTAATCTATATTTTCTTGGTTCCTCGTTTTTCTCTTGAAGTAATTTCTCTGCATGTGTGTCACACTGTCACCTGAAGCTCCTTTGCATTCCTGCCCACTTCCCCGCTTCCTCCAAATGTGCTGAGGCTGCAGCCACTTCTGCCTCTGAGGAAGCTGGGACAGGGGGTGTCACCCTCCACAGACAGCCCACCCTTTTGCACCACGTAACCATAGTCATCAGAACACTGAGAATTGTTCTTTACTACTCACAAACAATTCGCTTGGCCCTTCACTTCTGAACCAGTGTCCAGTTACCTCTCCTCTGGCCTTCCTTCATGTGCTGCTGAATCTCTTTAGACTCACGCCAGCCTGCACTTTCCCACTCTGTCTCCACTGCTTACAGCTGCATCCAGAACCTTCCATGAACCAAAAGGCTGAAGGCAACAGTATCTACAGGATGTTAGCAGCCACTGCACCTATAGGAGTCTATGATCAGTGCTGACTGAGCATCCAATGGCACCTGCCACCAAGAACCACACAGTGGAAGTGATTCTGATAAAAATTCAGAGCTGATTTTACTATTATAGAGGGATGACATAGCAGAATGCTTTGAAACCAAATTACTTCCCGTCTGACTCAGAGTAAAGAGAGTTAAAATCCAGTCTTAACACCTTGAACCATTTTATCATGAATGCAGCTTTTTCACTGCGATTGGACTGTTGCCATGCTACAAACTCATGATGATATTTAACATCATCTTATTTTCGGGTGGATCTTTATGGGCTGTCTTCATAAATGCCAATTTGAATTCAAAGCCAACCAAAATGGGCAGATATAAACCTGAAGCCATATTTCAATGTCCATGAGATGATTTAAAGCAATTATAGGTAAGTGCATTAAACTATATAAATGCATAAATTACACGGGAATTTTAAAGGTGAGTTGGAAGCAAAAGTGTACTGTTAATATAGATGAATGAGCCGTAAATTCATGAATGCATGGGTTGATTGTGTCATGGAAAGGTTTGTTAAAGATTACAGGGCACAATGTGTCGTGTCAGTTTGCAGGGCAACAATATGATGACATCATGTAAATTAACCATGAAAGCAGACAGACAATTACTGAGAATACAGCACCGTGACAAAGGTAAAGCAAATTATCTTAGCTGTACTATGCAATAGTTTCACACAAAATGCTGCAAAAATACTACTTTCTTGAAGAGTTATGCTGCTTCACATAATAATTCTTGAACGGGACTATATGTGTATGTGTGCTGTGTTGTGATACGTGTGTGTGTGTGTGTGTCTGTGATTGTGTGTGTGTTTGTGTTTGTGTTTGTTTGTGCACGCATACATTCATGTGACAAGCCACAAGTCCTCAAATGTACGTTGGGCGTGTTCGGGGTGTTACAGAAGACGTATAACCTTTAACTCTTCCCATCGTTCAGTTCTCATCTATGAATTCTGTCACACCCCCAGCCTTTGTCTCCCAGCTGTTCCAGGACCTTTATAGATTTGTGACTTCATGCTAGACTTGACATGTCACTCAAACCTGACAATGACTGTCATTCAGGACGACGCAGAAAGCATCGCTGAAACTCCTGCTCGTGTTTCCAAGCATGAACAATGTTCCTTCTGGTAGAGATGACCTGCTTTGGATGTATTATATTCAGTGCCAGGCAACCCCATTAGGCGACATGGTGTCGACTTAGCAAGACAATTTCACTTTGTCTCGGATGCCGATGGTGGGGGTGCAGGGGGACAGCAAGGGTGATGGGTTTGGCGCCAGCAGTGAAGCCTAGGGCTCTGCAAAAACTTTCGTCATAAATGACATCAGACAGATATTTAATAAGCATTTTAGAGATCAGAATTCCAGTTTTTTAATCAGTCTTTTTTTGAGCATAATGTCTCTATTCCTGTTAGGAAGGTGAAGCAATAAATTAGATAATGCATGTTCCATTGACTGTGTGGAATAATCAGAGATGCACTGGATGAGCAATGTGTCATTCGCAACAACCAGGTTATGGAGAAGCTAGTGAACATAACCTGGCTGATTTTATCCTCCATCCTCCATTTGAATTACATCCCTGATTTTAGTTCGTTCAGCTGCTGTGGAACTGCTCGTCATACTACATCTTTATTACTCTTATAGTGATAACCGTGCTGATTCAGTAACTGATCTGAGCCGTGTGTGTTTTTCACAGAGGTGACTCAGGACTTGTTTAAAGATCTTTTGATGACAGAGAGGCACAGCAGATACTGTAGTAAATAAAGTGGCATATCGAACTGATTGCAGGAGCCTCGTTAAGGACCCTTGACCTTGCTGATGTGGTCAGGATTGCAGATTGTGAAGTGGAAGACCAGAGCTCAGATCTCACCAGAACTTGTTCCCAGTAAAATTGCTGTACTTGGTAATGGGATAAGAACATGCATGTCCATCCGACTGGTGGGAACCTCAGTATCTGCATGGATGTCTCCTTTGTCAGGACAGGGTGTACTGAGATACCTATCAGATACCTATCAGGAAGAAGATATGAGACAGGATGCTTTCTGTTTCAAACAACAGCAATGGAGCATTATTCTAAAAAGTAATAAATAAATTTAGCAAAATAGTTTTTTTTTGTGAACAGTGCTTTAACTATACATGCAATCATAAATAATGTCATTTGAGTAAAGCAGTAAACTATTATGGAGCAAATAAAAATAAGATGCCTTTTTAACTGGGAATGGGTGGCAACTCTACATACAACCTATCCCCTTTCTGTCATCCTCAGTAGCTCTCCTCTGCCATGTGATAGCAGTGATTCCTGTTTCCCTGCTCCGGTTGCTAGGAGGGAGCCTGTCCTAAGCAACGCTTTAGGCAAACTCCAAAAAAATACAGAGAGGTCGGCAGAAAGTGCGACAGAGCGGACGGGAGCCCGACTGGGACGGGACCGAGACCGTCCTCCGTCACCTGGCGTTATATGTCAAACCATAAGTGGGGGTAAAATATTAAAAAGCAAAAACAAGAAATAATAATTAAAGACAAGGAGCAGAAATCGCTTTGCACGGAGCTTTTTGAACATATTTACAGGAGAAGCGGACTGGAAGACTTTTTGAACAGTTTCACTTTGCCTTCTGCCAAGTCACACTGAGGGGGCTGAAAGCTGCACGGCGGGGGGCGTGAGCCGCGGATTTCTTTTGGTGAGTCCGGTTAGACGTCTGACAAGCTTTTCTGGAAATTACAAAGCGACGCCGAAGATGAAATATCTTAAGATAAGTTTGCAAAAGTATCCTGTACGAAGCAACAATTGGGATATAACATAAAACATCGGGACTGGCTGCCGGCGAAACAAATGGGAGAAAGTTCATGGAAGCAAATCTCGGACCTGCCGCGCTTTAAAAATAAGCTCCCTCCCATCGATCAGCCCCCGCTTGGTGGAGGATAAAGGGGGCTTGTGAATGTATTGGGTTTGTGAGAAAGTCGATTTGATCATATTATTATTACAATTGTTGTTGCCGACATTATATGTACCTGGGTTTGTTGCATGTTCATTTGAGACAGAAGAAAAAACAGCATAGAGCTGACCGTGAACTACACCACAGTTAAAGTCGTGCAGAAAACGTGACCTGAAATTGTCCCTGAGGTTTTTCCTGTGTATAGTAATGAGGGGCCTGAAAATGTGAACGTCCTGAGTGCTGCAGCCACCATGCCCCCGGCGGGCACCTGCTTTGTGGCCGGGTTACCCCACCAGCTGAGCGTGGCTGCAGTGAAGGGCAGCAGAGCCCCAGCGCCGTCCTGCCGTCTGATTGTGTCCCAGTGCTGACAGGGGAGGGGAGGAAGGACGCAGGGAGAGGACATGGGCAACTCGTCTAAGAAGGAGGCCGCGGAAGGGGGAGATGGTGGTGAGGTGGAAGAGGAGGGCGGACAGGGCGAGATGCAGGTAGAAGAGAATGAGGAAGAGGAGGATGAGATTACAGCAAAAGAAGAGGAAGAACCGCAGTGGGACCAGGAACTGCCTATACGGGTAGAGGATGATATTGAATCTAAAGAAATGATTCTGAACATGAGCTACTGTAGAATGTACAACCTGCCGAATCGCATCTGCTCCCTAACATACCTGGTGAAACTGTACCTGAGTAATAACCGGCTGCAGACTTTGCCGAAGAGCCTGGCCCAGCTGCAAGGACTGCACCTGCTGGCACTCGATCAGAACAGAATGGATGATCTGCCAGTGGTCGTGTGTGAGCTGGTCAACCTCACCCACCTCTACCTGAGCAACAACAAGCTCTTGACCTTGCCTGTGGAGATGGTCAACCTGCGCAAACTGCACTGCCTCTGGTTGGACGGTAACTACTTCCAGCATTTCCCCCGGCTCCTCGTGAAATTGCCCAACCTGAGTGTGCTGCAGATGGGGGACAATATGATAAGGGATCTGCCCAATAATATGTGGTGCATGTCAGCACTGCGCTGCCTCTGGCTCTATGGCAATCGTTTCACGAAGCTTCCAAACGTGCTACTGCGCATGGAGGCCTTAGAGATCCTGGACTTTGACAACAACAGGCTCACCAAGTTGCCCGAACTAGATCACATGCCGGCCCTGCGCCTGTTCTCCTACGACCATAATATGGTGAAATATCCCCCGCTTGTGCGTGAGGAGGCATTGGTGGTGGGAAGGGGGGCAGATATATACCTGGAGAAAAGGCAGAAGAAGAAGGATGATCAGAGGATGGCTGCCCAAACGGAGGCCAAGAAGAATGCTGAGATGGAGAACAAGAAGTTTCTCAAGATGAGGCTCACGAAGTCCAACACCATATCATCTAGCATGGGGCCAGAGCAAGAGCAGGAGCCAATCATCCATGGAATCCTGAAAAACTCCACCTCCTTTGACCGGCGGCCCAATGGCGTGGCTGATGGGATGGCAGAGGGTACGGGGCCAATGAAATGTCATGGGGAGCAGGAGGAGCTACTGTATGATGAGGATGGCATGGAGTACGAGCAAGACCCAGTGGTGTATCAGGGTTTGACTCGGCAGACAAGGCTGGCGAAGGAAGGTGAGGAACCAGAGAGGTGCTAGTGAGGGACATGATCTCCTCCCCCCCCCCTCACTGCCCTCCTGGAGATGATAAAAGGCCCAGAACATCAAAGTATAAAATCAGCAAAAACCATAATGCCCAACAATAGCTATTT